ACCATCAAGCAACCTCGTCTCCTGGTTGGTAAGACAAAGACGACATTAGGGCACAGAGACTCGCGTACAAGCAAACAAAAGTCGCACAGAAGAAGAAGTCGGGAATTCGTGCTACACACCAATGCTGAAAAAAGCACGTCGACTCAGGCCCAACCCAGCTACATCATAAACCCTGTCACCACCAGGCCACATCATGAATTTGGGAAGAGGCAACAGACCTAATTAGTCGGGCCAAAGCACGAGTTCGCCACCGGTCTCGTACACGTCGCTTACCGGCAGCAGCTCCGTGACTCCACTGAGAACCATGGCGATCTGTTTGCTCGTCAAATCGTCCAGCCGCATGCACTCTCCGGGCCTTTGGAGGTCCTTGTGGGAAAGGCCCAGCAAGGCCGCTGCATCATTCACGTCGCACGAAGCCACCGAGGCGGTCTCGTCCTCTGAGCTTGAGGAGCTGGAGCTGCCTGGGATGAGGCAATCGAGACTGCAAGGAAAGGGTTACAGGGCTCAAAATTCAGAGTTATGGGATTTCGGACGTGTAACTATGTGCTGGCCGGCGGACAGTCCTTCGTCTTTTTCTTCTTCTTACTTTTCTCCTTCTTTACATCCCTCTTCTTTGCCTTCTTATCCTTGGACTTGTCGGTGTCCTTGCTGCCGCCTCAGAGGTGTGGCGTTGCTGCTGAGATGCAAACATTGAATCAAACAAGACAATGTCTCAAAGTTGAGAACTACACGTGCAGCACAGAATGAGCTCAAAGGCATGCAGCATGAGTTTCCGTGCAGCCAAGGAGCTGGCAACCAAGGCATCATCAAGGCTCTTGCGGGCCGTCTGCAGCATGAAGCTTTTGGCCGTATCCTCGCCTTCGCCCTCAACACTGCCGGCCGGCAGAGATCGCATGGAAACCGACCTAGTCGGGTAGCAGGGCTTATCATTTCGGTAACACCAATCGTTACTTAACAACCTAGCACCGACATGCCGTGTTTGGTTACCCCGGTCCTCGTGAGCTTGCCGGGCACGATCTTCACCATGATGCAGGGAGTCCAAGGCACTAGCAAGCCCCGAACACACAATGCCAAAATCCAGCAGCCTGAAATTTGCAGACCTTCGGTCAGAACCCAGAACGGAACTCTCACTAAAGGGAAGCCCTGCAGCGAAAGCCATGTGTTTGTTCAGGTTCTGAGTTGTCTACAATGACTAGTGCGTGCATCCCGGGCACCCATGCGTGAGCAAACATGTAGAGGCACTCGAAAGGCAAGTGGGTGAAGTTCGACACACTCAGAGCTGGCACTTGCATTGGCACTTGCATAGCAAACTCCTATCAGCAGGCCCCCGTTTTCAATGCCCCAGGAGAGATTTCGGAGCTGCACCGAGGAACGTTGCCAATGGCCGGCGGCACTGCTCCTGAGATGGGGGATTCGTTGTGCTTCTCACTTCGGCCGAAGCACGGGCAAACGAAGTAATCTTTACCAAGCATCACTCATATCGAGATTCCCGAGCAGCAACAGCCCAATCGGCTGCAACTTAGTTCATTGCATCACTCCCTGTATCCAGATAACGACCTCCTACAATCGGAGACCTGTTATGATTAGGCTACGTTATCAATAGACTGGACAACAGTTCAGGGCATGCTGGTACGACTTCATGAGCACTCCTGTGTAATCTGGGATTACCAAGAAGCCCGAGGGCTTTCGGTATGCATACCGGCAAAGTCTGAAAGGTTTTATATGGTTAGTTGTTTATCGTAATGCAGGAAGTAGTGACTTTCACAAAGTGGAATGTTGTCAGTAGTGTGTGTGTGTGTATATGTGTGTGTGTGCGTATATATATATATATATATGTATATATATATATATATATATATATATATATGTGTGCGTGTGTGTGTGTGAATGTGTTTGTTGTTGTCACAGACTAATTTATATATCGATATGAAAACAGTGCCTTCTAGTGTAGTCTGCTCAACTAGTAGTAATGATTAACACTCGGGTTGATTTATTATAACTATAGTATAATTATAGTCTAGTTATGAAACCCGGCATGTACCACTAACTAACAGACTCCTCAGTCTCTTTGCAGCCGCAGCACGGCCAGAGTTGCAGCTAAGAGCCGTGTGGCACCCATGGATGGATAGATTCAATCCGATATTCAATCCAAGCAGCCTGCAATCCCCCGGCCAGATTATCGGATAATCGGAGATAATCATCATAATCATCGATCGAATCACCAAAATTTCCAAGATTGATCTGCCATATCCCATCATAAGCATAACCGGAGCCCGTGTCCGATCCGAATATCACCTCAGATAGTGAAGCTGCAGAAAGTGAAAAGAGGAAGGTGTGTGCGGGTGTGCGTGCACTTGTGCCCGTGTGTTTGTGTGTGTGTGTCTGTGTCGCACAGAAGCAGGAGGGGAGGCTACGAAGCAAGCCGGCCATTGCTAAGGAATGAACCCAATGTCCTAAGGCATATGATTTTCATTGGTTCAATAATCCATGGCAAACATCGCATCGACTTTGCTTAGTACATTACTCGTGTCAAACCGTCAGTCGTGGTGCAATCCGAGCAACGGAACCATCGCCGTCAAGCGGGTGGGAGCACTTCCCACTCCTGCAGAAGCAAAGCCAGGCATCTCCACAGATTCAGAAGAGCCGTCAGTTACCTAAGTTCTAGGTCGCTCTTTCCCACTAACATAGACCCCCGAAAGTTGCAAAGCGAGGCAGTCCTCGCCCAGCATATCCACGAAGGTCGGCGGGGTGGACTCAGCACAGAAATGCCCATTCTCCCTCCCCTTCGTGTCTGGAACTAGGGGCTCTACAGAACTGTGCATTTGGGGAGCATTAAGTAAATTAGTATTGATTGTGGGGGAAGCAGACACAAACGAAGCTTCCACAATATGTGCAGTCGCGACACGATCACAATCGAAGGTCCCAGGGGCCGCGTCACAATAAAATCGTGGGCCTGCACACTGGCACGATGCTCCCCAGCCATTGCGAAACCAAGAGGCACAGTTGAAATGTAGATCGCCCGAATGCAGCCTCGAATTTGAAGTCCTGCTTCCGGCCATCGCGGCGTAAGTCAGCATCTCGCTTGCTCAGCATGTAGCAGTTATCCAAGTCCTCGCAATGAACCGACGAGAATGAGCGAATGCTAAGTTATTCCAAGTCACTGACTACCGGCTGCTGCGTGTGCGAACCCTCCTCCGGTCGGGCCTGCTTGAAGAGGTCCAGGGCCAACATGCTGAATGCTCTCGCCCAGTTCCACGACAACAAGGAATCCACCGTTCGCCGGTGTCTCATCAACAAGAGGTCTACTACCTCAATCAGGCATAGTGACCAAAACCAGGCAGCAAAGCGAACCGACACAATGCCACACAGAACTGCAAGTTGCACCCAAGCGGCACAGTAAACGTAGGTCCCCGTCACCTCGGTGCCGTCGTTCGGCATCACCACCAAAGTGCCGTTTTTCTTGTTCGCCAACGACGAGCGGAACCTAAGTGCTGAAACCAAACAGCCACACAAGAATTTGAACATGGACACAAGCTCCAGAATAATTAAGCATTGCTTCCAAGCAACACCACAAGCAGTTTGCTTGCAATGCATTTGATGCCCTTAATCAACAAGCGATCGCTGCCCCAGAGCATCGTCACATTCCTTGGTTTCTGTCTTGATCATAGCAACAGAACAGCCACAACCAAAGACCAGCCCAAATGCACAACGAGATGCTGGTTGCTGCTGCCGAAAGCAGCATCCGGAAAGCATGCTTTCAAGAACCCGAATCGCTCGGCTGCGTCCTGTCTTGGATAAGGTCTACTCAGCATAAATTATCGCATCAGTTCTTGATTCCTTTAACCCGAATATTTGCAGTCCTTCATGGCGGGCTGCTTTTCAAAGATGGCCGCGAACTTCAGTGGCATCACGATCACCAGTCTTACCCGGATGTAAGAACACAACATCGCCATATCGGCCAGGAAAGCCTCACGAAGTAAGTCATTGGATCATGCCCGAATCACACGAAGCAGAAGATAGCCCATGCGACAACGATGGCCGAGTCACTGCGATGTACTCAATATTCACTCCGTCCGTGCCGTTGTAATACCGAAATGGCCTCAGCTTTATGATGGATCAGGGATGCACATGAACATGGGGAACTGCCCATCCTATGAATCATTAGCAAGCCAATTGCTTCTGGGTCTCGCCATGTACAGCAATCCTCCCGGCAGGATTCTCGTAATCATCGTCAGACCTCAATCCGTGGGGGAGGCCCCTGGAAATATGAGCTGCTTAAGCAACCCAGTGCGAGCAAGAGGCAAAGGAGTTGACCCCTCTCGTGCTCGAGGCTCTCGTTCAGCTCCACCCCTTCGATGAAGGTGCTCGAAATTCCTTCCTGAGAAGGGCTTAGATTGGAGGTGGCGAGGGTGTGGAGTTGTGCTGCAAAATCTGATTTGTCAAAAACTCAGGATGGTTCAGATTCCACGGCTCGTGCCAAAAGCTGATGCCCCCATTCCAGAACGTGCACCAATCGCTCGCGTCTCATAAACCCAGTAGGTTCGTCCTCCTCGTACCGCTTGTCGAATACCCACGGCACTTCAGACTCCAAACGACGGCGAAAGGCGTCGGAAAACATCGGCTGCGGCTCTGACATGTCTAAATCCTGATTGTTTGTGTCCTCGCATGACATTATGTCACTTCAATCAAGACTATGCCCCATGAACCGATGACTCTTCCTGTCTTTCATGACACCTAAAACTTGATCCAGCGGGCACGGTGTCAGCCTAGAAGCACGGTGCCTGTCTGAGCATGTGTTCCGAAGTCCTTGACTAAACCCCTAAATCCCTAAACCCCTAAATCCCTGAACCCCTAAATCCCTAAACCCCTAAATCCCTGAACCCCTAAATCCCTGAACCCCTAAATCCCTGAACCCTTAAACCCTGAACCCCTAAATCCCTGAACCCCCTGAACCCTTAAACCCTGAACCCATAAACCCTCATAAAAATAAAGGAAAGCTCCTCCAGGGCCAGGCCTCCTTCAGGTATCTGATCGGCCTCTCCATTGCCAAAGGAGTCCATAAGCTTCCGAAAATTAGGGGGTACCCTAAGGGTTGCGATAAAGGGTTGCTATAAGGGTACTACCGAAATTTTGGGTTACCTTAATTTAGGGTCCTTATGATTAGGATCCTAATATTTAGGGTACGCTATTAGGGTCCCCCATTTTCGGAAACTCCCATGATGTGCCCCAGAGGGTGTAGGGTTTAGGGCCTAAGGTCCATACGTACTGCCATTGCGGAATTAGGTCCCCGCAGCCATAATAGGGATGGTTGTTTTGCGGACCTAAATTCCTTAATCGTCGCATATATGGACCATGATATGCCTTTGGGGTTGGCGAAGGAGTCGCAACATTGCAGCTTTGGGGTTCAGGGTTGAGGGTATTGGTAGCGGTTTAGGGTTTGGGGGGGTTGGGGTTCAGGGTTGAGGGATTGAGTCTTGTGTTCCTTGGCTTCCTTAAATTCGGTATGAATGCTTGTGGGTTTTGAGACTTATAGGAGTGGCTAGGGCCGCTAGGGTTTAGGACTTAGGGATTATGATATTTTGGGGCTATGCGTGTGTGTGTGTATATATATATATACACACATGGAGTATAGAGGTTGATGCGGTTATGTGGGTTTTTGGGGCTTGGGAAAAATATCTAGGGTTTGGGGATGTTTAAAGTTTAGGCATTGAGGGCCCAGATAGGCCATGGGTTTGTCCAGGGTTCGGCGGGGGCTGAAGCGGGGGCAACCGGTGGCCTGTTTGGCGGCGCCGCTGCTGGTGTCGCGACCTGCGGGCCGTAGCCTCCGAAGCGAGTGTTTCCCCAATAGGGTCCTCAGGAAGACTCGATGCCGGAGCAGCGATTGGAGCAGGTGTTTGGGAGGACCCGGCCGCTGCACCTGAAAGCGGACTTTGCTCCATCTGGCGCATGAAGCGGGCCTTCTCCTCCTAGCTCATGCTCTGCAACAAGGAGGTTTAGGACTCTTTCCTTCTTTTAACTTGCTTTCTGAGAAGGAGGAGGCGAAGGGGTCGTTAATTTTCGGTTTCGGGTCTGCTGTTCAACACAAACCTCAAAACCCTAGACCCCTACACCCAAAACCCGAAAGCCAAAACCCCAAACCCTTCAACCCTATATAAACCCTAACTTACCCCGGAAGCCCTCAATTCTCATCCACAGAAGCCTACAATACCTGGGTCTGAGAATTCTGGGAGTCCCTGTTCTCGTATATACGGTCATTACATGGAATCTCATGACCTCTTCCTCTTCCGACAATTTCTCTTGCCCCCGCAGGCAAAGAAACGTCCCGACTCCCTAAAGCCCAAACCCATACATGGCCTCGGCCTAAACCCTATACACCCCAAACTTCCCTAAACCCTACAGGGCCCCGACCTGAACCCTAAACTTGCCTACAGTAGAAGCCTAAAAGTTGGAAACCCCATGGCCTCAATCCTTAAGAGTAATGTTTTGGGAATGTCAGGACTATTTGGCCTTAATCCGGTTTCCAACTTTCTGAGGTTTACTGTATATAAACCCTAAACTTCCCTAAACCCTACAGGGCCCCGACCTGAACCCTAAACTTCCCAAAAAAACTCTAAACTTCCCGAAACCCTACTGGGCCTCGGCAGGGAAATAGACGTCTCGACTCCGGACGTCGCTCGATGCTCTTGCCTGCTGCTTTGTGGGTTTAGGGTTTGATGGGTTGTGCTTTAAACCATTTGAAAATTATTTATGAATAGGTTCCCTTTTTCAGGAAATAAGGAAAATTAAAAATTCCCCAAAGCACAACCCAGTTTAGGGGTTTTGGGTTTAGGATTTAGGGTCTCTGGACATAGCTCAGCCCAATAGGCTGCCAGGGCATCGGGTTTAGGGTTTAGGGTAGAGTTTAGGATCGATTTTGAGTTTTGGAGAAGACTATACTATACTGATAGTAACAGTTTTACTATTAAGTTGCAAAACCGATAATGGTAATAATACTTGGAGTTTAGAATGTACAGAGTAGGCTTGCCGTGCAGAAAATAATCAGGGTATATGATTTTAAGCCCTGGGGGTCCATGTATCCAAAAAGTACGTACTTCGGCCGTGGAGTAATCCCTACTGACCTACTGAGGTACTTTGGGACCCTTCGGGTAAGGGATTCCTGACGAACTCAGGCTTTCCCAAACTTTGTGAAGCGTTACACAGCAAGTAAACTTACCGGGCACTTTTCTCGCTAGACGTCGATTCTTTGGATGCAAAGGCCCAAATAATTATGGTCTAATCCAATCATCCAACGGGCTTCTTCAGGAGGTTCCGTGAACCGGACTCGTCAGATAGCTCAAGCATCAAAAGCTTCGCGTCAGGCCTCAGATGACTCAGGTAGGTTGCGCATTCCAGGAGTACTTTTAGAGAGTACGTTATACTTGGAGGTTCCTGGATAGTTATAAGTGGATGTATAAGTCCCGTAATATCGGCTATAACCGTAGTTGTCCTACTTATAAACCCCACTTACAACTGCACATGACTCTCCAAGTAGAGCCCTTATAACACACTTATAGAGCCCTTGCGGATCCCTCAAAGGAACCTCATAAGCCCTAGTAGCCAGAAAGTGAAGGCTGCATGCACCCAATCTTAGCACTTCGGGCGTCGAATCAAAGCCTGAACCTAGGGCTCTATATAAGCATACGAATGTGGGTTTACAGGGTTTAGGGGCTTCGTGTTTAGATTTGTGGATTAGGGGTTTAGGGGTCTAGGAGTCTAGGTTAAAAAGACAGCCCCTGCTTTGGGCTATTGGACCCCCAGATTGAACCTCAGCTCTTACAGTGGTGGTATGAACAAACGCCTCGACCCTAAGAAGCACCAGCTTTCGAAGTTCCTTACTATTGCTGATGATATAAATCCTGCATTACCATTAAGGACCCGAAACTATGGGAATTACGGTATATTCCTTATTATGGGCAATGCAGGGTTTATAGCATCAACCGTATGATTTCCTTCTGCATTGCCCTTAAGAAACGTAGGCTTTGTGCCGCTACCCCCCCCCCCCTCAGAATGGATCCCCCCTCATAACAAAGGTATCTTGCTTCCTTCTGTTTGGCCTAGATAAGGGAACTTACAAAGAAAAACGAGCAAAAAGGGTACTACAAGAGCACCTAAACCCTATAAACCCTAAACCCCAAACCCGAACTGGGGAACCGAAGATATGCTCTGCCTGGGGAGCAGTTTGACGGCGCCGTGGCGTGCGGTACATGCTCCTGGCACGGCCAGAGGGTCCAGTAATCGTGTCGTGTAGTGTAGTATAGTATACTCTGATATATATTTTGGGGGCCGAAATATATCTACGAAGTACTTGGACCCTTTGGGTTAGTGCAAGGAGTGCCAGGCGTGCGTGGGAAAGTCGACGTATTAGTTTTTGTTACATACATCTTGCAGGCACTTTAAAGAAGCGAAGCAAAAACTGTAAATATGCATGTCGGGACTGTCAACGTCTCCGGTTTAACAAAAGCCCTGGGGGTTCCAAGGCATCTACGGCGCTGGCAATTCCCCAATTAATTACCGCCCTGCACAAATTCAACCCACAGCCACAGGACGCACAGTCTTGTTCTGTGCTCATGAATGTGCCTAGCATTGCTGGTTTGGACAACAGGACTCTACATCGCTTTACAGTAGCGTCTTGCACTCTCGATTGGCTCTTCCGCTACACGAATTTCTTCAAACTTAAATTAGCGCCATGCGTACTCATCCCCTCTGCTGCACTCCCAACCTACAAGCCTAATGCAAGCAGGCAAGAACTGCGGTGAGCACGGCGGCGTGGCATCACGCTGGAAGCTGCCTGTCGTCAGATCATGACGGCATGAGGCTGAAGCCCGAGCACATGAAAGAACTCCTCCAAATTAGGGTCCCTTTTTGGGTCCTTAATATAATGCGGCACCTAATATTTAAGGTACCCAACAAGGGGACCCCAATTTTGACAACCACCCATATGGAACTCGGGGAATTACAGCACAAGCGAAGAACCGCGAGTCTCACTACCATGCCACCAGGGTCTGAATGCGTCGTCGTTCCTGCAGTTGTGGGCTAGGGAAGAGCAGCTGAATGCGGGCAAAATTTGTACGTACAAACGGTACGTGCATATGCTGAAGAAGTGCCGAAGCATCAATTGCCGTAAAGAGCCGCCTGACCTCGTTTTCTACATCGGCCTTACGAGCTTCTTTCCACCCTCCGACCACGATCTGCAGGTCGTCCACAATGGGACGACCTGGAAAGCTGCTTCCTGCCGCCGTGCTGCGTGGGCTGAGGTTCTGAGGGTTACCTGCATGGCCGTGAGGTGATGGGCTCAAGGAGCGTTCCCGAAGTTCTCGGACCTCCGCCTCCATGTCATCCAGTCTGGACTGGAGGCGGCCGTGCTGGCGGGACATGTCCTCCTGTTTCTTGTCTAGAGCTTGAATCTGTTCGGTAACCTGGTGCAAATTACGGCCCTGACTCTTAAGGACATCCTGCTGGCCGGGGGAATCATAACTTGCCCTTTTGAACAAACCCAGGCCTCTACACTCACGCGCTCAGAGCCTACGACTCCATGAGCCCAAATAGCATAGACTTCGGCCCAGAAGTATCTATATAAAGAATATCCGTTGCACTCATCCCCGCCTTTGAAAGCCTAATTTGGGTTGCGGGGTTTCCAGGAGCAAGAGCAGGAGCAAGATCCTCCAAAGGTGACAGCAAGGATAGGACGTTTAAATCCTAAACCCTCCCTTGGGATCCGAAAACCTACCGTTTTAAGGGTTCTACCCTCTAATTAATTAAGGGGTCCTAACCTACTATTTTGTAGGGTTTGGAGACACAAATCAACCCTAAACCCTTATTAACCCTCAACCCTAAGCCCTGGCCACCACCTCTTCCTGAACTCCCAGAGCGCCCTGGCCGGCCTGAATTCAGAGACCTCGCCAGCTCCTTGCGGAAGAAGGTCTTCGTTTAAGGTTTAGGGGTTTAGGGGCTCCTTGCGGAAGGTGGTCTTCGTTTAAGGTATGGGGGTTTAGGGCTGGTTTGGGCTTTAATCTCAGCGGGTGAGTTCGAACAAAGTCTTGGGAGCAGATGTAAGGAATCCCAAAGCGGAGCACTAATTACCAACTATCTGAGCTTCGTTCTCTTAATCTCAAAGTTTACGGTCTCCAGTGTGGGCCCTATAGCACCAAAACCTTGAAACCATTGCCAGAAAATGTGTTGCTGGTATGGTGGGCTCTTAGGGAACCCTAAACCCGAAATCTCACTCCGGAGGGATGCGGCGTTCCGGGTAAGTGTTCGGAATCCTGTAAACGAGTCTTGTGGGGCTTTTAACGGTTCAGGGTTTAGGATACAGGCTGTATAGGACCCTAAACCCTAAACCCCATAGGGTTCGATGGCTTGGTATATGGTTCCGTGCTTTCGGAAGCGGGAGTGTCTTGTAGGTTCGCGCTCTGGGATTCTTTGGGCGCGGCGTTTAGTCTTTAGGGTGGTTTAGGCTCTACCTTAAAAGCCATCATATTAAATTTGTTAAGAATATCCCTACAAGAAGGTTTTGGTCGTTGAAGGTCTTGGTCGTTGAAAGGTGGGGTATGGAGTTTTGCCAACTGTAGCGTCACTGTGTGACCAAAAACCTTAATGGCCCAGTATCCATGAGGAACCAACGGTTAACCTTTAGGACTATACAAGCGTTATTGTAGCGCAAAACGGGGCTAAACCCTAAACCCTAAACCCTAATAATGAGAACCTGCTGAACAACCTGTTACTGAGCCGGGCCACAGTTCCTTTTTGGAGTCTTCATGTAGGGTTTAGGGATTGAAGGTTTTAGGAGTGTAGCCATTAGGGGTTTAGGGATTACGGTTCCTGACCTCTAGATCCTGAACAATCTGACTCAGCGTCAGAAGCTACACACAAGCAGGCTGGATGATTTTCGGGAGCTGGTATACTTGGAAACCAAATTTCGGACATGGAGGCTTGGTCATTCAGCAGCTTCCAAGACTAGGGCGTGGTTACTCTTGTCAGGCCAGGTGGCGAATGTAGCCGCAGTCTCTTGCTCCAGTAGCCAGCTCTCCTGCAGCCGCGTGCCAAGTTCTCCACGAAGCTATTCTTAGCCTAACCTGGCAGTAGAAGCAGCACAGTTTGTATAAGGGATAGAAGCACTAAACCCTCAATTCCTACACAAACCTTGTGACCCTAAACCCTAATTAAACCCTAAACCCCTAACCCCCCGGCGACGTCCTACAAGCCAAGGAGCGAGACTGTGGCGCTGGTAGCAGCAGCAGCAGCTATACTAGTCGTCGTCATCCTCATGTTGTCGTAGTCGTAGTGGTGGTAGTAATTCGGAGTATGTGTTAGCAGCAGCAGCAGCAGCATCATCAGCAGGAGTAGTAGTAGTAGTAGTAGTAGTAGTAGTAGTAGTAGTAGTAGTAGTAGTAGTAGTAGTAGAAGTAGGAGTAGTAGTGGCAGTAGCAGTAGCAGTAGCAGTAGCAGTAGCAGTAGCAGTAGCAGTAGGAGTAGGAGTAGCAGTAGCAGTAGCAGTAGCAGTAGCGGTAGCGGTAGCAGTAGCAGTAGCAGTAGCAGTAGTAGTAGTAGTAGTAGTAGTAGTAGTAGTAGTAGTAGTAGTAGTAGTAGTAGTAGTAGTAGTAGTAGCGATAGGAGTTGTAGTAGTAGTTGTCGGAAGATTAGTAGTAGTAGTAGCAGTAGTAGTAGCAGCAGCAGCAGTAGTAGTAGCAGCAACAGTAGTAGTAGTAGCAGGAGCAATAGTAGTCGTAGTAGAAGTCAGCATACCCAACTGTGCATCCGTGTCGAAACAGGATTTGCACGATAAACCCAAACCTATAGCTCCGAACCCCATGCACCCTAGGCCCTAGTCAGCGTCCCCGTTGTACAGTAACTTTTTTTTGGGTTGCCTTAGGGATCCGAATATAGAGTTGGCTCAGCAACAAAGGATGAACTAGGAGTAAACTCTATCTTGTGAAGGGATTCGATTTAAGTTGCCATAAAAAGGAAGCTATATTAGCGTAAATTAAAACCCCTTCAAGGAACCTTCATAGATCCCAATTCTGGTAGCTTAAGTTACATCCCTTTAACAGGAGCCCAGAAGCCGATCCCGGGGCCCTCCGGGTCCTCCTGCTCTTGCTGCAGCATCGACATCCTTCGCATGTCCCTACACTGCTACTGCTAAGCTTCATACCGACGAAACCAGAGGATCCACGCAACCCCGCAGTCATAGTAGTAGTAGTAGTAGTAGTAGTAGTAGTAGTAGTAGTAGTAGTAGTAGTAGTAGTAGTAGTAGTAGTAGTGGTAGTAGTAGTAGTACATAGTAGTAGTAAATAGTGGTAGTAAATAGTAGTAGTAAATAGTAGTAGTCAATAGTAGTAGTAAATAGTAGTAGTAAAAAGTAGTAGTAAATAGTAGTAGTAGTAAATAGTAGTAGTAAATAGTAGTAGTAGTAGTAGTAGTAGTAGTAGTAGTAGCAGTAGCAGTAGTAGTAGTAGTAGTCGTCGTAGTAGTAGTAGTAGTAGTAGTCGTGGTGGTGGTAGTGGTAGGTAGGTTGGTAGGTAGGTAGGTAGACCGCTTCATACGGCTTTGGGTGGTTTAGGATTCAGGCTAAGGCTTTAGGACTTTAGGTGCTTTAGGATGTGTGGTAAAAACGGCCCCACCGTAAATAAGGTTGACTGCTTCCTTAGCCTCCAAAGGGAAAAGGAGGGACCCTTAATAAGGACCCCGAGGTATATATTATATACCCTTAACATAGCTATTATATGCCCATTCTATAGCCCATCATAGGGTAGGGGTCCCCATTAAGGGTTCCTCCTTTCGCCCTTTGATAGCCAGGACTACGCCAAGATCTACGGATCCTACAATCATGCGAAGGTCTGGGTGATCGAAACCTTGTTTGACATGTGGGTAGTTGTCAAAATTAAGGTCCCTTTTTGCGTACCCTAAATAATAGGTGCCATATCACAATAAGGACCCCCAAAAGGAACCATAATTTTGACAACATGGGGTCTGCAAACCCTACATATCTAGAATCCCCAAACCCCCAATCCCCAAAGCCCGAAACTCAAACCCCACATCCTAAACTAAACCGCAGGCCCTAAACTCCTAAACACCAGCTCTGTGCAGTCACGCTGCAAGCGATGCTCAAGCTCCTGCTCACAAAGCTCCTGTTGTTGCACGCAGCAGACTACCCGTTCAGCGGTCCGGGTTTTCAGGCTTTGGCTGCTTCAATACCCAAAGCTTTAAGGCCAATGTATATACTGTTCGGGTACATGGACACTTAAACCCCAAACTCCAAATCCCTTACGAGACCCCTTATAGTAATCCTTATGGAACGCTATTTGGGCACGTGGACCCTTAGGGGAACCTACGGCCACCAAAAGGCACAAGGGCCCACTCGGAGACCTGGAATTATAGTAATATAGTATCCTTAAGGAGGGTGGGCTCCAAGGGGGGTAGATAACCTACTACTCCCTAGTTCCCCCTGATCCTCCCTAAGGTCCCCTTAAGGTTCCCTCAGGATCCCTGGTACCCTCTCCACTTGAACCACCCTTCCTTAAGGACTCTATCATGGAATGCAGACCTCCGATCACTTGACCCCTGCCCCGCCGACCTCGAGTGGCATGATCATAGGGAGGGCTTAGGGTTTTAGGGGTTCAGGGCTTGAGGTTTAAGGTTGAAGGTTTGGGGCTTAGGGTTTTAGGGGTTCAGGGTTTAAGGTTGAAGGTTTGGGGTTTAGGGTTTGAAGGTCTTGGGTTTAGGGTTTAAGGTTTAGGGTTTAAGGGATCCCAATACTGCTGATGCTATAACCCCTGCATTACCTTAAGGATCCTCAACACGTGGGAATTATGGTATATTCCTTACTATGGGTAATGCAGGAATTAAATCATCGAAAGTAGCGGTCCTAATATTGAGTCGTTCATCAGAGGTCTAAAGTAAACTCCGGACTTCCGAATCTTAAAGCGTACCATAACCGAAACTCCACACTCCAGCCCAAAACCCCAGACCCTGACCCCACAATTCAAAACCCCAAACCCCAACCCTTATAGATCCCTTTTAGTATACGCCCCATCCACCCCAGTGCCCCCGCTCCGAAATTCTCGACTACTAAACGCCGCACCCGTGTAGATACCTGAAAGTGAGCGGTAACAACCAACTACCAAAAGCCGTCTGCTTGGCTCCTTATCGTTCCAAACAGATAGCTCTCCATCACCTCAGCTGGCGTTGACGAAGTGCGATGTCTTTAGGGCTCTGTTTTCAAGTCTTTAAAACGGTTTAAAATCCTTTTCCTATGCACAAGGCCTTGCGTGGCCATGTGCCCAAACAGAGCATACTTTGGCCTTAAAGTAGTCCCGGTATAGGTACTGCAAACTCGAACTATGTACATCGACCCTTAGGGGCAATAGTTGATCGGGTCGACACCAGCAGTCGGCTTCCCAGTTTCAGCACCCACGTAGGAAACAGAAACCAACTCCCAAAGTGGTGGTAGGGATTACAGGGGTTCAGGGTGTAAGGTTTAGGGTTGAAGGGTAGGGACCCACGATTCGAGCAGCCAAGATTTTCTCAACACGCCGAGATGCCCTCGAGACCCTATAAACCCTAAGACTGCGAACCACCACGAAGATTAGAGCCCTGAAACTATGTGGCATGCGCGGGTTCTTTGAGCCTCCGTCGGCTAATCCACGATAGGAAGCCAGTGAGAATCTCCCGAACACTCTGAAAGAGTGATATCTTGAAAAGGGTTGGCAGGCCAACTGGCTAAGAAATCCATCTCCCTTTACAGGAATTAAAATGGGGATTCAACTAGGGGCCTGTCAACAACGAGGGTTTATTCATCAGAGGTCCACACTAATATAGAAGCCTGAGTAACTAGCGTATTACCTATGCTATTCCTTAGGGCTCCTGATTGCAACCATACAGTTATATACCCCCAAAACCCCATTCCACATATCAAGGCAACGACTCTCAAGCCTTTCGCTGCCCTTGCGGCACCGTTACAGGAACCCTCGTAGTTCCCCTAAAACACCATGTGCTCATCCAGCATATACCTTGGCCTTCGAGTACCTCTATAAGGACTCCGTTGAAGCCCAGGTACATACTACATGGGCACATGGATTCTAGGAGGTACCCTTTAAAGGAACCTATCTTAACAACCTAAACCCTAAACCCTTCAGATGGGCCACTGTCAGAGCACAGGTCAGGAAAGCACGCCGGCTGCGCCAGGGATGGGCCAACCTGAAGATGGCGACAACGAGGCTTAACATGGGGGTTTAAAGGGATGCTTCAGGGATCTACAAGGGTTCTATAAAGGGTTTAGGGTTTCGGGGCTTAGGATTTAGGATGATCTTCCTTGTCACCGTGGATTCTATAGGGGCTTCATCCGGTATTCTTTTACTGGCTACAGCTGAAATACAAGACTCTAATCATAGAACCATTGGTGCTCATCATATTATGGTTTCGGATTTGGGGGGCATGAGTTTCTGTAGAGCTTAGGCTCAAGTCTGGGGTTTAGTTTTTTGCGGTTCGAAGGGTGCAAAGTTTTGAATAAAGACCAGCGGCTAGAAGTGTGGATTATTTTGGAAGGTCCGACATGATGATTACTAAACCTGAATCCAAAACCCTAAACCCAAAACCCTAAACCCTGAACCCCGAAAGTCCCGCCCCACATGGCATTTCTTCAATACAAAGCTTCAACTCATGTAAAGGTCCTTGCATTAACCTATTCCACCATGTGTAGGGTCTATACTATGGCCCCACATTTTCGGCCCGAAACCAGCAGCCGGACAACTCGAGCCTAAACCCGACGCCCCGAGTATGGAATGTCAAATGTGTGGTTGTGATAATAAGGACCCCAAAGGGGACCATAATTTTGACAACCACCCAAATGTATGACGTAAAACGGTCGTTATTATAAGAGCAACCGAAGAAAGCTTGCAAAGACAGATATGCCAAGTGAACCAAGACGCCGAATCACAAACCGTGCTCAAGGGGGTTTGCGACTGAGAACCTACTTGGAGGGTCGAAGGACTTGGTAAGTAGCTAATATATAGACTTATAAGTACCTTAATCGGGACCCTTATTGGGGTTATGGTACTTATAAGACTATAAAACAACTACTTACTAAGTCCTTCGACCCTCCAAGTAGGGTTTGGAGTTGAAGAGCCGGCTTCAATGTGGGAGTTTCCGAAAACAGGGGACCCTTGTATAGGACCCTAAATAGTAGGATCCTTATTATAAGGACCCCAAAACAAGGTACCCCTAATTTTCGGAAACTCCCCATGTCTTTGAAAGCAATACATCTGCCCAGGCACGATTGGACTCAACGGAAAGTCTCCCTTCTTTGGGGAGCTCGTGGGCGATTGCGATGCCTTGCGCTCCGAATCTCTTGCGGATCATCTTTCCGGCCTAAACCCTAATCCCTAAAACCCTAAACCTTAAACCCAAACCCATACACCCTAAACCCTAGACCCCTGGGAACCTAAGAGTTTCAAGATCATTTGGAAAAAACTCCCCGTTCTTTTGTGCAACAGCAGCTCCTCTAAGAAAACAGGTCTGGAACCGTAGACCCGTGATCTTCAACTCTGACACTCCTAAACCTTAAATGTAGGTTTCACCATAATAGCAAAACAATAACAACAACATAAATCGTAGCACTTCAAGCGTAACCCTTGTTATTGTAAGTACGTTTAGTCTGAGCTTGAAAACAAAACTTTCCCAAAGGGTCCAAAGTACCTATATAGGAGAATGTAGGGTTTACATATCAGGAATTACTATTATGATTTGGGAAAGTATCCCCCATAACAGTACCTAGGACCCTTTGGGTTTGTACCCTGGTAGCCTGGAAGCCCACAACCCAACCGTCCCACAGAGATCACCACACCTCTTGCCTTTCTTGCCTCTCTGCTTCCACAACCAGGCCCAAAACGGTTCAATCTTTCTAAGATAGACCTTAGAGGCTGCCCCCACCCTGTAATAGTGACCATAAGGGTTATATTAATATTGTATTAGGGCTCTAATATATTCCTATTATACCACTATTACAGGGTGGGGGCAGCTTCTAAGATAGACCACATATGGGAAGGCCAAAAGGTTTAAAGTTCTCACATGTTCTTCCATTGGCTATCTGAGTTACTAAATGCGTCATTTAAACTATACTCCGCCTCAATGCGCCGGCGATGGAGACTCTGGACACCGGGAAATATACCGTTCTACTATTTAGTTCTGTAGTATGCGATAAATGGCTATGTCATACTACACTAAGCTTGTTTTACTGTCATGTATATGAAGCTGCGCAAGCAATACGACATTACCTCAAACTCTATTGCTGTATACTCTCTGTGCTAGATCACTGTTTAAAGATGACGCATAAAACTAACTACAACATTACCCCAAACTCTAACCCCCAAACGCCTAAACCCCAAACACCCATTACCTCAAGCACTACGGCTGTCCAGGCGCCAAGATTGCTTTGTGCTTTCTCTGCGGCGTGGCTGGGCTGCTGCAGGAATCGAAGTTGGAGCAGCCCGTAGACTTATCCTGGGCCGATCTTGCATCTTGCAACTCCCAGTTGAAAGGCCCTTGGCTCCAGTCACCCAAATAGTAGGATACGAACAATATTAACGTAGTTAGTTGCTGAGTTCATACACTTTCAGTTTTATAGTGCGTAATAGTCCCAAAAAGTGTAAAGTGTACACTTAGCTACTAAGTATATGATAAAGCCTAGTAACCCAATACTTAGGTAACTGGTGTGTCATGGAAAAGTACATACACAGAGCTTTAAGTGTAGTCTCCATCGTAGCTCGTTTTTCTGGTTAACCAGCTTTAGGCCTACATTAGGAGACTACCCCTAAGGGTCCATGTAGTCATATGGTATATACATTGGCCTTAATGTAGTCCCTATTTGGGTACTTTGAGGCCCATGTATCTCTATATGGGTACATGGACCTTTAGGGTATACTATAAAACTCATTTAAATAAAAGAATGAAGCAAAGTGGATGGCAGCATGTCATGGCCAAGCGTAGAAGAGGACAGTATCATGTGGCGTAGCATGTGGCAGTGAGACCTAAGTTTGACGATCTGTTGCGCCGTTGCTCTCAATACATATACGAAACTACAGTTTACCCAACTGATGCGTTGCAGTATTACATAATCCGTACAGCAGCGCAATACTACATAACAAAGTAAGTAGCACGTTGTGTTTTATATATAGGCACAGCTTCGGATTTAGTCTGCAGTCATGTGCAGCTGAATAAAAATTTACTATATATTTATATAGACTTATGTATATATGTATATTCCAGAAACACAGTAACATCGTGTTCGCTTGTGTGTATTTTTTGTGCGTGTATGTACACATATATATATATATATGTACAGATATGCATACACACACATGTCACACGGACATATATATATATATATAGACACGCATACATGATGTCTAACGTGCTGTGGTTGTTTATTCTAGACCTGCGCAGTATGGAACAAGCTCCTGTGAACAACATGTTCCAGAACAGCGTAGCGTCTGGATACACTGCAACTTCAGCTTCAGAAAGAAGCTCATCTTGGAATATTGGAAAGTCGTCTTTCGGCTGGATCTTGCCGTCAAAGGTGGAAAACATGTCTTGCCTCTTCGGGACCTTCTCCCAAAATGGTGTTGGCTTTTCTTCATCGCTGTCTGTATCCGGCATCCAGGCCGCTTGAAGCACGTCCTTGGTTCATCCGAAACCCGAAGGTTCAGTTTTCTACAATCCCTAAGGGTCCATGTAGCCATATAGTATATACATCGGCCTTAATGTAGTCCCTATTTGGGTACTTTGGGGCCCATACATGGAACCTTAGGAAATAGGATTGTGGATCTAAGGAGGCACGGCACACTCTGACCGCACCTTGCAGAAAGGAAGGCGTGTTTAGAGCAACCCACATTGTAACAGAAACGAGTAGAGGCTTGATGCACACAGGCCCCCAGGCTCACAGTGGTTACTGAGTTTAAGCCTTGTGGCTACGACCCCAGGGCCCGTAGGGACTTGTGGAGCAGCTATGAAATATGGATGAAGATTTGGATTCGGAACTTTGAGAGAAAACAAGGCACCCTCAAACGAAGGAGCTTTCATACAGGAACAGAAAAAGATTGTAGGGTTTGGTGCTGCGAACCTGAACGACAAAGTGCAATGTCACAAGTCCACATTCTACATGTGCGCTACGTTGTCCTTCCTGATTCTGCGTACTTCGTTTCTTGTTACGCAGCCTGCAACCCTTTATAACCAAAGCAAGGGTCGCAAATACCTTGCAGAGTATGTGTGAAGTGTACATCTTGCCTCAAGAAGCTTGAAAACCTTGCAAGACCTCCTTCTAGCAGCCGTGGTGTCCCGAAGCCCACATTTAAAAGAAACTCGTCGAATCGTATGAAGCCCGTCTACGACAAAAGAAAGCAAGCTGACAAAAGAAGTGGGTGGTTGTCAAAATTAGGGTCCCTTTTTGGGTGCCCTTAATATTAGGTGCCGTATTATGATAAGGACTCAAAAAGGGACCCTAACTTTGACAACTACCCATATATGGGAGCTTCCGAAAATTAGGGGTGCCTTTAAAAGGGTTCCTTTAAAGGGTTACTATAATACTATGAGGGTACTATACGGGTTCCTTTAAAACAACCCAAGTGTCAAAGGATGGCAGCTCACTCCTGCAAGGCTGCACCAGAGCTAGCTGCGAGTACTGTCGGAAAAGGTAGCCGCAGCTGTTGCGCGATCGAGCTTCCACCCAAACCTCGAGATGTTCAATGCAGGGGCCATTTTAAAAAATAGAGCGGGGTTTTGGGGTATAAGATACTATTTAACTGTAAAATATCCGTGTGTGTTCCGACGCCTAGGATTTTTCGGGTCCAGGATTTTCATATTCATTGTTCTAGGGATTGGAGATGCTCAGGGTTTACGGTGCGGGGTTCAGGGTTTCAGGGTTGAGGGATTTCCACTGGAAGCTTGCAGTTGAGTTGTTGACGTCGGTGCTAGGCTGCGCTCTACATTCTACGCCTCTCAAAGCCTTGGTAAAATGAGAGTTTCAAAAAGTCGGACCTCAATCCTAAACCCTAAACGCAAATCCCTATCCAAAGTCCAAATTATTAGCTCAAGTACCCGGAGCAACACGAGAACGACCCGTGATTCTAGGCAACCCTCGTTCAAGCGTTCTTGCAAGAGTTCCCTTTGCAGCCTGTTGGTTAAGGGATTAAGGCTTTAGGGTTTTTGGTTTTAAGGTTTTGGGGGGTTTTGGAGTGTAGAGGTTATATAGGGTTTAGAGTATGTGATATCAGGGTCGGTGAACATCTTGACAGGAAAATTCATGGGCTCTGTCTGTACGAACTTTGCGCTGTCGCAGTCTGAATCAATTCTCGGCGTGGCTCACGAACGCATGTCTCTGTAAGTCTCTCTGTCCGTCTCTGTCTGTCTGTCTGACTGTCTGTCTGTCTTGCCTGTCCTGCCTGTCTTGTGTGTCTAGTCTGTCTTGTCTGCCTCTCTCCCTGTCTGTCCGCCTGCCTGTTTGTCTGTGTGGCTGTCGGTCTGTCTCTGTTTGTCTGTCTGCAAGCACCTCTGGATCTGTGGATGTACGCTTGTCTGCATGTGTATGCATGTACATGTATGCGGTGCTGGACGCACGTATCCATGTGCATGTACATAAAGGGACTGTGTGTACATGTACAGCACTGAATACACAGCCAGTGACAAATGCACGCACGTAGGCACGCACACACACACACATACACATACGCGCGCCCACACACACACAAACAAACACACATAAACACAAACACGCAAACACACACACACACACACACACACACACACACACACACACACACACACACACGTACGCCCACAGACACACACACACAAACACACACACACACACACACAGACACACACACACACATACATACATACACTACACATACGCGCGCTCACACACACACACACAAGCAAACATACACAAAAACAAACACACGAACACACACACACACAGACACACAAACACAAACACACACACACACACACACGTGCATCTTCATGTAGCTGGCTAGCCAGGGAAGTAGGGAGGCAGGCAAGCATGCCAGCAGGCAGGCAGGCAGGCAGGTTAGCTTCGGTGAACTATGTTGATTTGGTTGCTGTTCAGACTTTCTTCCTGTCTTTCTTGTCGTGCGTAAGTGTCTTGTATGCCTTTCAGTGTATGATATTGTATGTCATACCTGGACCTTCCTGGCATGGCCTTTAATCGCCCACATTGCCGAAGCCGGAAACCTTCGCCCAATCAGGAATTATCAGGCCAATTCGTTCTGAGAAAACCGTTTCCGCCCAATTAGAAACCTTGTTGATTGTAGCAAGTTCATACAAGCCTCGAGGGTTATATAAGAGGTCGGAATATCGTTTAGGGTTCGTGGCTTGATATGTGCTGATTCTGTTTTGGAGATGCCGATTTGTTGCACGACTTTGGGGCCGTGGTTTGCAGCTTATGGTTGAGATTTGAGAGACTGCCTTTAGATAGAACCCCACATCATTTCAGCTCGCCTGGCCACTGCTCGCCTCGCTGCTGCTGAGCTTTCAGTTGGAGCACCACCTATAACATAATACCATAATACCCCCTATCTTTAAACCTTGCTCCCTTTGGGAGCTTGGCCCCAAGAGCTACGAAGCAGAACACAGCAGGATGTAGGAATGTAGGACAACTGTACGAGCTAGGTTCCAGGACAGTATAGGAATTAAGCTTAGGGTTCAGAATATAAGATACAACGGTTTGGAGAACCCTAGCGGCGATGCCGGGCTCGCTTGGGCTTCCGTGCGGCTCGCTTCTGCTTCTGGCTTGGAAAGCGCCTGCGCAGCAGTGCTCTTGTCTTGAAAAATATCCTATCGAAGACACGAGTGTTCACTAGTCGGGATGATACTCTCCGGGATAGCCGGGCTACTTTGCCAACCTCGTCTTCGTTGGATTCACAAGAGAAACAAAGTGGGTTTAGGATTCGCCTGGCTTTGGTTCGAAGCTGGATCAGGAGGTCTTTGCTAAGATGGTGGTTGCCATGCAACTTCGGTTTGAGTCCAAAGCCATTGAACCCAACCGTGCCAGTCTGAGCTGCACAAAACTTGTAACCTCGTATCATACGGGACAAATGATGCTGCAAGCGCTGACCGCACTTTCTGTGCAACCACAGTGGATGCGAATGCAAGATATCCCAGAACACTAGGGCAGAACTCAAGGTTTGGGTCATCGCATTGAAAAGCAAGGTCTGCTCACGAGTATCCCCAGCTTTGCTCATCTGATGGTTGATGAAAAACAAAAGCCATCTGGTAAGCAGGGATGTGTCACTGCCTTTGCAATTCATCCAGGGGAACGATGCTCGACTTTTGCGATTCAAATTCAGCTTCGTAAAACTACGCAATGACGGAGATTTATGTGAACCCAACGCCCAGAGCCTAAAGCAGCTATGAGCACGATCCAATCTATCGTCGATGTTTGTCGTATCCTCTGGACTCCAGTCAAACTTCTGTAGTTCGCACAAGGTGACGATGGTCGACCCTACTAAATCCCTACCTGTGCCCATCCGCCAGAGGTGGAACGGGTCCAGACGGAAGACCAATGGCGTGCAGGCTGGGTCGAATTCAACCTGTGCCACTGGAGGGATTGCATCTGAGTCCCAGGGCGCATTCATGAAAAGCGAAGCCTCCCACTGTGGTTGGTCATCCAGGTCCTCAAACGGGGCTTCTGCAATCCCCGCATTGCAAAGGTGACACATCGGTAGGTTTCGCTTCCTTCCCAAGTTGTAGTAGCTGCGCTTCAGAAAGCCGATTTGGTGATGAAACTTCATATCTCCTTTGAGGCCAAGAAACCCTGTGTAGAAGTGCCCTTTCTGAGCGACAGCTGCTCCAGTGATGCACAGTTCATTCAGGTCTTCACTGACCAATCGGAACAGCTCGTGCAGTAGATCGGGATAGTTCTTGTAAGAACTGGCAGGCCGAAGCAGAGGAATTTACTCAGGAAGGGGTGGCCTTTGGAACTTGTCTTCTGCATCGAAGCAACCCTCAAGATTGATGCATCATCTTCATCAGAATCATCAGAAGACAAATCATTGTACCTGCTCAGCACAGGATCGGCGGCACAATCACAGCAGGGCAGATCTGCTTTGTGCGATCCCAAGATTGGTTCAACAGTGCAAACCATAAAATTAGATCTTTTGAGATATCTTCCTTCATCCCCGTGCAGAGCAACTGGGATCGTTCTTCTCAGTCTGCACGGTTCATGACGAAATACTGCATGGCCTGGCTGAACAGCCCGGTAGCAATGCCAGAAAGCTTCGAGCTCTGCTTCGATCGCTGTAGTCCCACACAGAAGTTCTGGATACTTGTCTAGCCAATAAGATATCCAGGTGGAGGGCTTGATCCAGGGAATTTCTAGCATGCTGTTCCCATCCTGTGTTGGAAAGATCAGCTTTTCCCGCTGAACCTTCAGACCTAAATTGAAAGAATTGAATAGTCGGTCCACATCCCGAGTCGCATTGGACTCCAGCATTTTGCCTGCGCTGGTAACGCCCAGGCTTTCACAGCCCTCCTCCTTGGCAGCTCGGATGTTGCCGGCAATGCTCGAGGCTGGTGCCTTGGAGCACCGGGATCTTGGAAGCAAGCCCTTAAATCTAGGTTCATAAACCAAGCTTCCGATCATGAAAACCCAATAGCCCTAAGCTTTCGAACCTATTAATCCTCGACCCTGGACTAAACAAATTAAACAGCCAGCTTAAGACACGACACCCCGTCACCATAGTCTTCTGCCCAATGCTCCAGCATCGGCGCCCTCGTCGTCTCACCTGGCACTTCTAACGTACTTAGACCCAAACCCGATAGTCGATAACCACCAACCCCGAGATGGAGCTACCCAATTCAGTCTCTGTGGAGTTTGAGAGTACAATAAGGATGCTGGGGCTTCGCGATTTGCTTCTAGATTCTCGAGCATGAAGCGCACCGGAGTGCCGAGGGATGCTTTCGGTTTGGGGTTAACATAGGACAGACTGCATATCTACAAAGACCTCGTGATTTGCTGGTCTATCGTGGAGGTCTAGACCTGGGCTTCAGTCTTGGAAGGAGCAGTCGGGTACGTAGTAGCAGCAGGAGTAGTCGTAGTAGTAGTAGTAGTAGTAGCAGTAGTAGTAGTAGTAGTAGTAGTAGTAGTAGTAGTAGTAGTAGTAGTAGTAGTAGTAATAGTAGTAGTGGTAGTGGTAGTGGTAGTGGTAGTGGTAGCGGTCGTGGTCGTGGTCGTGGTCGTGGTCGTGGTAGTGGTAGTGGTAGTGGTAGTGGTAGCGGGAGCGGGAGTGGAAGTGGTAGTGGTAGCAGCAGCAGCAAGTAGTGGCAGTGGAAGTGACAGTGGTAAGGGTAGGAGTGGGAGAGTGGTGGTCGTGGTATCCCTTTAGCCGGACAACGGCAACAGCAGCAGCACTAATGTCAAAATCAATAGTCGCAGTAGCAAAACAATTGAAACCGGGAAACGTAGCGATCACAACGACGTGGACGACGACTACCACTTGCACGAGCACTCGTGCTAGCAGGAAGTAAGCAGCATCTAAATCGGTTGGACCAACACCAGCTGGAACAGCAACAAAGGCAAGGTACGGCATCGGGCGTGATAGTTTGGGTTCTCGTGGGTAGGAACGGCTCGTGTGGCTTCATAACGAGGACTCGTTAGCTACTACAGTTCCTGCTCGTAGAGATCATCAATACTGTCAGACCTGCCAACACTGCTACAACTTGTAGTATGAAAAGTATAACGAAAGTAACGTAAACATATTATAGTAATGGTATTAAGCAGACCACAAAGCCGAACCCGAGACACGAACCACACTAGGACTAAACCCTTCTCGGTTGGTCCCAGGAAACTTCTTCCAGCGTGCACGTCCCGGTGCACACACAGACAATGGCAGGTAGTCCTGCCCTGTCTTGTTAAGACTGATGCGGTAGTTCACATTCCAATCCTACACTTAATTATTGAAGGGTCCTTCTCCCATCCCTGACGGTTGCTAACCCCAACTACATTATGGCAGCTAGAGGGCCTAGGTCTGGGAGTAAGACTCCTTTCGGAACGTATGCAAGTCACCTTCAGGCGAACGAAGCACATATGCAATCCTTTGGATCACTTAGGCCTTAGCCTTAGCCTTGGGTTTGCCGCGGCCCTTGGCCTTGGCTTTCGGTTTGCAGTAGCAGCAGGCTCACCGTCCCTTCCTCGCTTATTGGGCGTACTCAGAGGCTCCTGTGCTGGAACCTCCTGAATCTTCTTCCTGTTGTTGGAAACCACAGTCCTCAAGCAATTTCAGATTGGGGCTTCAGGGCTGGGTCCCAGAAATGAAGTGAGGAATTCAGATTGCTTGCATAGACTAGAATCAGCTAAGCGGCTTCACACGTGGCTCCATCATCAAACATTGCACACACCTCACAGCAGAAGTGTCCCTGATTCGCACCGAAAAGCGAACAGTGCAACCGGCAGCTTTATCAAAGCCAAGCCCTTGGCAGGTTGCGGGCCCTGAGTAGCCCCTGAAAAATCTTCGCTTGGATCCTCAGAGGACAATGTACAACAAGAGTTAGAAGCTCAAGTAGGCAACAAGCTACCAGTGTTGCGACAATCATCGGCAAAGGGGCTCTTTGGTGTAGCCATCAACCATCCCATCCTCGTACAACTGCGTCAACTCCTTGTCCTGCTCGGTCAGATCCTGGACCATCTTCGTGATCCGATCCGTCATCCTTGGCAAAGGATTGGTGTAGACCCCTCAGAACAATTTATTACTTGGGTTCAGGGTTCAGGGGTTTTCGTTTTTATATGTAACGATTTCGTGATTGTCAAGGAATAAGATAACCAGTCGTATCGGTCTTGAGTTCGGGGCCAACCATGATGTCAATCATGCCGATTTTTAGGTGGACCTGGGGTTGCCTGAGGGACGGAGTTTAGGGTCTAGGAATTCAGGGCTGTGTAAGGGTGTAGGGGGTTAGGGGTTTTCGGGTTTGGGGTTTGGGAGAAGTGCGTTCCCAAACAAGTTCTGTGTTCCTGTTGGTGGGGTGAGAAGTTCGCTAGAAGTTTATTTTATGATAGGCGCGACGATGCTACAGTCTGGGTTTAATTGAGGCGCTTGTTCACCTGATCCGTCTTCTCGCAGTCGTTCGTGAGATCGGTCTTGCCCATCCCCAATTTAGACAATCGTTTCTCGATAGCAAGTCCTGCCTTGGGGATCATCGAGCTCGGGGTCGTGACTTTCTCGATATCCGGGAAGCAAGCCAGCGACTTCTTGTCGACCCCTTCCAGCCCTGGTTGAGCCGGCGTCGGCGGGGCACTGGAATCTTTGCCTCAGACCAACAAACAATCACGCGAATCCCACCCTTGAAAATCCATAATCCTCAGCCCTACACATGAAGTTAACCCGAGAAGCTAACCACTACGAGCTCGAAGGGCTTAAGGCTTAAGGGCTTGGCGTGCAAGGTGGCGATTTAAGGGTCAAGGGTTCCCAAGCGATTGGAATGAAGGCAAACCATCCAGCCCGGAACACACAAAGCCAGGGAGTCACAAACCTCATGAAAACCCAACAGGTAGAACCCTTGTGTCGTTGAAGGCGAACGGCCTTGCTTGTCAATCTTATCCCAATCCATCTCAAGGTCCTCATCCTTGAGCTCACCCTCCTCATCGTACTCCTGCATCTTCTGGATCAAGGAGCGCTTGGTACTCCTTGGCAGAGCTGGGGTGGTTGGAGTATTCCTATGATATATTAGGAGAAAGTGCGAGGATGCCGAGATTCTTCTTGTGGCCCGTGACCTTTTTGCAAGCCCAGTACATGGTCTTGTTGTCATACAAACCGGTCCTGGGCAACAGTATCAATTGAAGCTTTTGCTAGAGCCGGAAAGATTTTGCATTGGCACAGCTCGAGGTCCTTTTGAAGCCTTTGTTGGCGTCGCAGTGGGCCTTCACACCGGCGATCCTCTCCCTTAGATCTGGGTAGGGTGGAGCATCCTACTGACTAAAGGTTCGAGATGGCACTAATAACTATAATTGGAACTAGGTAGCTCAGACCAGCTTTCATCTCTCATCTCGTCCTCAGTCATGAACTCCCATTGCTCATCGATTTCGACCTCGTTGGAAATCTCCAGCACTTTGCGGCATTTGATAACGAAGGCATCCTAGGTTTGTTCAAAATCCGAATTCTCTGGCTCTTGCATGCTATGGAAGCAGTCACAAGCAAGTCCTCGACACAGAGATTTGAGCCAAGCAGCCGGGCTATATCCCACCTTTTCAAAAGCCTGGATGACTCCGGCCCGACTGGCCTTGTTTCGGAAGTTTAGGACAACTTCCTCCGGCAGGAGGTACGAGCCATCAGCTCTCGGCTTGGTGAGGCGGTCGAGGCGTTTGTAGATTGCTCCTTCTGTCGGCTTGTCGAGGACGTCATCGGGAGGAGGTGGGCCGTTCTTGTAGTCGACCAATGGCTGGCTGGGTGCGTGAGCTGGGGGATTGCTGGATGGCGGATCTGCGGTCTTGGTGTCGGGGGCCTGACCTTTTCCTTTGCCACTGGACCCGTTGCCTTTGCCCTTCTTGTTGGCCTGATCTGTGCCTGAAACGGGAGGTGGAAGGCATTGGTTTCCATCGGCTGTGGCAGGCATTGCGGAGTCTGGAAGGCCTTTGTTTGCATCGGTTGCGGCTGTGGTGGGCATTGCGGAGTCTTGAAGCCCTGTGCTTGCATCGGTTGCGGCTGCGGTGGGCATTGCGGAGTCTGCAACCATTGCAGAATCTGCAGGGCCGCTGGCTACGGCTAGAGCGGTTGGGTCTGGAAGGATTGGCGCAGGCGGGGGGGAGTCCGCCTGCGTCTCAGGAAGAGTATTCTCAGGTTGGGGAAGCCAAGAGACAGGTGGCTTCGGCGCAGAGGTGTCCCATTGGCCTGGAGAGGCAACGTCGGCGTTGTTCCCCTGCCCGTCCTTTGAACCGGATAGAATTAAGTGTTCTTGAAAAACTAGGAGGTGTGTGTGTGTGTGGGTGTGTTAAAAGATCGGTGTCCTGGCTGCTCGCTTGTAGCGGCTCGTAGAACTGGGTCCGCCTTGTCAAAGGAGTAGCCACAGCCCGTTTCGCATTGCCACGGCCGGAACCCGGTGTGGGAGCCGTCGGTGTGCACTTCTCCTTGAGAGCTAACTCTTGTGCCTGGCCAAGCCACGACATCATGAAGCCCGCACTACGAAACCACCGCCAAGCCGAAAGCAACACAAAACATTGTCAAGTATACTAAGTACACCGCCTCAAGCTCCCGAAGTTCCTCCTGCATCGCCAGGAGCTGATCGTCCGGCGACATTCCACCAACACTTTTGACGTCGAGGCACTGATTGCCAGCAAGGGCAACCCCTCTTTCGAAGGTTGCGGAAGACCACGAACGACTCTGAGCCATGGCTAGGGTTTAAAGGCTTGTAGAACTAAGGCCCCCTTGGTTTCCTTACGTGGCCACGGATTTGGCACGTGCAGCGTATTAAGTAGGGGTGGGGAAAATGCTGTCCGGGTGTTCCCGCCCACTTCCCGGATGTTCCCGCCCACTTCCCGGGTCTTTCCGCACACTTTCGGTTCCGGTTTTGGGGCTCAAAAGCAACAAAACTCAAGCATGTCTATAAAAAAGAGCAAAACTCCTTTCACGTCGCGAGAAGGGCACTTTCAGGCGGTGTGTAATTAACACAGCAGAGCAAATTATGCATGAATTGTGCGGGGCCTAGGAAACAGAAGCCCCGCAGAGGAAGCAGCTGCCCAGCATCCTAGCTAGTAGGCAGAAGTCCCTTGAAATCATCAGGCAACATCAGCAATTTGCTGTTCCTGGCGTACCAAAGCGGCATGTGCAAGTTGGCAATCTCCCAGTTATCATCCCAAGACATCTCCGACAGCAGACGAGCCAGCGGCTTGGTAAGATCAGTATCCTCGGGGGGCGTGTTCTTTTGGGCTCCTATCTGTATACCTTTCTGTACACTAAAAGAACGGATGGCTTGAGGCCCAAACAAGGATCGTCAGTGGGTTCTTTCGAGCATCACGAGCATCAGTGGTCCTTTGGGGGCGTGTTCTTTTTTTACACTAAAAGAACGGATGGCTTGAGGCCCAAACAAGCGAGCATTATGAGCGTCAGTGGGTTCTTTCGGGGCAGGCGGGGGCGCATCACGAGCATCAGTGGTCCTTGGGGGGCGTGTTCTTTTGGGCTCCTATCTGTACACTAAAAGAACGGAGGGCGACACGAACCCAGCAAACACCGAATCACCACACACAAGAAACTAGCCGATAAGTTTCTCAAGAAGCAGTCCCTACCAAGACTCCCATAACATATGTTCCGGCTAAGACACAAGCAGAGGGTCCCTGGACGTTGCCCGCAGGCTGCGAATCTCACGTACCACAGCGGCTGCAAATTTTGGCGGATACGTCCTGGGAGGCAGAATACAGTCGGGCCCAGGGTTTGGGTTTGGGACTGGGCGGGGGAAGGATTTTAGGGATCTCGGGCTTTGGGGGTCAATGGTTTGGGGACTAGGGTTGGTTGGGACTCTAGGGTCTAGTTGGGGGCTGGTGCTGCTACGGTAAATCAGACTTGAACAGTATCAAGCAAGCTTCTGGGTCCCTCGTAGATTCTTTGAAGCTGTGTAGGTCTTCTTGCCGGACTTGTTACGGGATTTGCGAGAGGTTGCCACTGTAGACTTCTTGCGCCGGTCCAGGGTGCCCAGGTTGAACAAGGCGATGGCCCTAGAAGTGCTCCACAGGATTGTTCTTTTCCAAGTAGCTGAACTATAGAGATGCATCCATAGGCCCTGGCGGTAGACCTCAGCAGCGATGGTTTGATATTCTTAGGGGAACAACTAGGCTGGTATTCAACATAGGAGAGTTCTCTGATTTATCTACTGGAATTGATCAGAGGAGCGGGGATCTTGGCACTCCCGAGACGTTGCAGCATCCACTGCCACCTATCATGTAGGTATATTAAAGAAGTGCCCGGGTTCTCCACGACGATGACACCGCCAGCACAAATTGTCATCATTATCAGCAGAATACACCTGATAATATTTTGGTATAAATACCCAAAGGAACACAAACTCGAAAACATAAGCCCTAGGCCCCAGGCCCAGACATCCCCAAATAATGCTGCACTGGATTTATCCACCCAAAGATGCCCTTGATGCTAGGTCTCATCTAACGTAATCAACACAATCCTGGTTGACCCAGAATATTAGGTTCAGGGCTCGGTTACTAGCATAGTTAGGGTTTAGGGTTTAAGGGTTGGAGCAGCAATGCACCTGGAGACCAGCAAATTAGCCTGTCGAACAGATGGCTGTAATGGGTTGCCCATGGGGTGTAGAGGACTGCGTCCAGAAGTTCCGGCGTTGATCTGCACCCAAGTCGAGCAACATATAGCCCAAACTGTAACGACAGCTTCGAACTTGCTGGAGAGCAACACACTGATAGCAAGCCTTAGATACCCAACACTGCACCACAATATCTAGTTGCACAAACACTCGCCCCAACTACTCTATGCGCGATTAATGTTTCTAATGCGAAAGAAGGAACAGGAATCCCGCCGAGGTGTTTAAATCCATGCAGCTCCTGCCCTTAGAATGTTTGGCCTTTGCTCGACGACCCTTTCCTGGCTGCGACTGCTTATCATAGATAATGTCAAAAGCCAGGCTCCGATATCCCACACACTCCGCCAGCCTAGCGATACGGCCGGCCCCGCTGAAAAACTCGATCAAGTCATATTCTCGATCACTCCGAACCCTTGGGAGGTAAGAGGTCATCAAGACGATCATCACGAATGCCTCACAAAACATTCGGATCACATCAAGTAGCTGAGCAGTAAGCTACAAGCACCACAAAAGTAGTGCCTTCGGAAGGCCCATCGCTATCATTCTGCGAAGGAGCAGTTCGATCTGGTCCGGTGTCATGGCTAAGGAGGCTAAGAGACAACCCAAGGTTTCTAGAATCCTTGAGGACTGGCACATCACTCCGGCACACAGATGTTCAACACAAGCACTCCGATCATCAGGCAGCAAACATGCCAGGGTTGTACCGGACGGTTCAGGAAGTGGCCGCTTCCCATACCGAGCATACACCGACAGCCCCTTGCGGAGGCTCATGCTGCTGGCTGGCCAAGCAGGACAGCTGCTTGTACCTGGAGACAGATCTTTCATGGGTTTTCTCGGCTACGTATAATTCAGCAGTGGGCTGTCCATGTCGGAAGACAATGAGGCATGATATCTTTTGTCCCTTGAAGACTTTGCAGAAAAGCTGTGGCGCAGTGCACTCTCAAAGAAGTGCGGTGCTCCCCACCCGGCAATGATCAAAGAAGAAGTTCGTATAATCTGAGTATATGTACGACCACCCTTGGCCCTAGGATAGTGGTACCTCAACTGCAACCGAAAGCCGAAATCATGATCGAATGACCTTCTCCCGTGCTCGCCAGGATCCCCCGAGCCATCGGCTGCTGCTGGCAGCATCAGGCAAATCAAAAGCGACTTGAGGTTTGGTGGTATTGACACAATCGGCTTGGGGATTTGGGTTTAGGGCTTTAGGGTCTTTGAGATTAGGGGTTCGAGGCTATGGGTTTAAGGTTTAAGGCTTTAAAGTTTGAGGGTTTTGGGGTTTCAGACTTATGATGCCTCAAGTCTATGCAAGATCCGACGATCTGAGCTCCGACACTTCGGAACCTTGTGCACTGGGGGGGTTGAGGTTCAAGCTTCCATAAGTCGTGTGAGGACGATGCACCGGGTCCTCGAAGTCCGAAGCTAAGGAACCCGGCTCTACTCAGCCTCAGGAGAGTTTGTTTGATAGCCTTGGCAACTCTTAAGGAAATCCTGCACAACCGTCTCAGCCATAGCTTTGTAATCTTCGATTGTCTCGCAAGTCTCCTGCGAGCACCTCGTCGTGAAGAACTTCCAGAAGTCGTCCTGAAATCGAGGGCTTGGCACTTCTACTCGGGTATTTGCTGATAGGTACAGAGACATGGTTTGGTCTTGAGGCTTTAGAGCTGAGGTTTGGTTTGAATATGATGATATTGATAAGGCTTTGGTTTTCAGATTTGCAATCTCGGATTCAGGAATAGTTAGCAAAGTTGAAGCACCTAGTTTGTACTCGACTCGGTTTGGCTTGGCTGAGATTAATTGTATAATAAGCATACGAGAACCCAGCCATTCTGGGGAGTAGGTCTAGTTTAATTGCAGAGAACGACGAATGTTTAGAAACACCCACAAATCCTCGTACTTGCTGGGAGCACAAAGAAGAGGACCAATCTGATTGTCATAGAACTGCCCAAGGCCATGCCACTTGGCAATCGAAGTCGGGTTCGCAGTCTCTTTGGGACGGGGCCGCCTGGCGAAGGTGTTTCTTGCCTTTTTCGCACCAACACCCTCTGCACCATCGGGCTTGCTTGCGCAGGGTCGTTTCTTGCCCACCTTGCCCTCACCGATCTTTGTCTCAGCAACTGGCCCGTCGCCCTTCGGCCCATCGCCAACGAAAGCACGGTCGGCTGCTGCGGGCTTTTTCAAGCACCCGCCCCCCCTGCCGCCCCGTCCACGGCTGGCTGCTGCGGGCCTTTTGAAGGACCCGCGTCCCCCGCCGCCCCGCCCGCCCCTGCCGCGACCACGGCCCCGGGTAGGCTTCGCTTCCTCTTCGTCTTCATCCTCCAACTCCAAGCCATTCTCCCGCTGCTGCTGTCGAGTCAGAGCGACCTGGAAGACCAGAAGTAGGAACCATGCAGCTTGAATCAAAAAGTATTTGTTAGCTGTAAACCCTAGCCCTGAATCTTGAGATGAAGTCACTATCTGTTTAAAACACAATGATGATAATAATAAGACTAGCTGCCTTGGTATCGAAGACATCATCAGCCTCGAACTCAGACTTGGAGGGAATGGAGAGGGAAATTCCATCATCATCATCATCATCATCATCATCATCATCATCATCATCATCATGGTTGGGATCATCGTTGGGTCCATCAACTCCTGACTTCGAGGGCTCGGCATCCTCCATAGCAACAGGTTGCTGCACATCCTGCAGTCCATCACCTTCTGACTTCAAGGGCTCCGCATCCTCCACAGAAGGCTCACCCTGTGGTCCATCAACTTCTGAATTACCCGGAATTGGCTCTTCCATACCAACCTGGCAACCATTCGAATTGGGCTCGCCCAGCGAACCTTTCGGAGTCGGTGTTGATGTCGGCGTCGGGGAGCGGGGTGTCGCCACAACCATTGCTTGAACAGGAGTTTTCGGAGCTTGCTCTGCGATGGATGGAGGATTCGAGGAGCATTTGCGTTCCGGATTATCAAGGCCCGCTGGGGCGGCACAATCATGAAACTTTTGCTCCTTATCACCAAAGAGGACTCGAGGAGGAAGGTCGATGTTTGGGAGCTCCCCAGGCTGAGTCTCAAGCTCATCCGGGTTGATGGGTCCTAAGGGGCAAAACACCGTCTAAGTTGAGCGAATCTAAACCTAGGCATCCAAATGAATCTGGCGTAGCGGCCACAAACCCGAAGCCAAAAGTCTGAACCAGGCGCCTGCTGGCGCATCGGCTTCACGTGGAGCTGCCGCAGCAAGAGTGGCCCGTCGAGCGGCAATGTCCATCCTGGGTGGCAAGATTATGTAGAGCTTCAGAGAATCCTAAGTTCTACAATTATATATGTATAACCCTAGCTCCTAGGTGTGACACTCGAAGATGATGTCAAGGGTCTTAAGTTGCTGGATCCTTGCAAGTCGTTCTGCACGAGCAACATCCATAGCTGCTTTGGGAGGCTTGGTCACAGGGCGGGCAGGCACCAGCAATCCTAACTTCTCCCCTAGCTCACGATCCTCAAGGGCATCGGCAGCATCTTCAACATCAACATAACCATCATCCTCTAAAGGCTCCTCCTCACCCCCTTCTTCCTGGCACCCTTCCTCGCACTCTGGTTCTGGGGCTGCAGGCTGGACTGGCTGGGGCTGGGTCTGGCCCGTTGAAGTTTCGGCCTTTTAGTCCAGAAGCGCTTGTAGAATGAGAAGAGTTCGTGCAAATCGATATCCTTACCATCGTGATGGGCAGCACTAAAGCTCGACAGAATTCTCATTCTCATATCTACAATTTCTAGTAGCACAAACATCACGAAATAATGTAAACTGCATACATGCTTCTCTCTTATTTTTTGATACAAAAAGCCTTCGGTTAACCAAGGTTTGAAAAGACCTAATCGCATGAGCTTCACAGTGACAACCCGCAGGGTCTGGTTCCATGTTGAGGTCGCTGCGCAGCAGCCGAATCTGCAGCGTGGCGGAGGTGCTTGTAAAGGAATGAAACGATTGGGTTTGGAGAGCGCATGAACAAAAACCTTCTACCTTTTGGGCATTACTGGCCGGCCTCTTGCTTGATTCCAGGCACTCTGATGGATAGGGGGTGCTTGTCTTGGGGGCAGAGAACTTCAGCCACCCTTCGCATCACTGCTCGGTTCAGCCGCAGGGCCTTCATACTGATGATTCCTGTCAGCTTTGGGCTTGGCCACTTAAGCAGTGACCCCTCCTTCAGGAGTCGTTTGCGGCAGAACTCGTTGTTGCCTAACAGCTTGTTGAGTCCTCTGACATGGCCTGGCGGCACCCTCTCCCGCTTGGGCATGCTAGCGAGTCCCGACCCCGACGAAACCAATAAGAACCTGGAATTTGAAACCCCTAAATGTGGCCCCAGCTTGAGAAGCAAAAGATGTAGTGCATTTGGATGAGCATTGCATAAAACATGCAGCACACTGTTCTGGCCAGGCAATAAGCAGCGACTGAGACAAGCGGGGGAGCACTTCCGGAAGCCAGCGAAACCAGTGCCTGCGCAGGGCGCTGCAATAGTTGTATACATTGTATACATGGTGATAAGTGATAAGATCCTTCCAAAACTGATGAGGCTGACTCTTTGCACATTCCGCCACACAGGACCTGTACATCTGCGCAGCATTCCCCCTGAGGAACCCCTCACATAATAGCTCTAGCCTCTAGCAGCCACCACCTAGGAGTGTCACCAATGGTGTTTCACCTGCCCGGAGCTGGCTGGCTTGCCCGCAAAAGACTGAAGAAATAAGAGCTCAGTACGGCCCGAACCTGGATTGGTATCCTTAGATACCACACAAGGTATCGGGCATGTACAGGGTTTACGGCTAGGGTAATTTTATGATTGAGGGCTTTTGGGTGATTGGAACCTGCAGCTAGGCGACGCATACAACGGTAGGTACGGCACAAAACCCATGTAAAGCCACGGTTGAAATAGTTCACGAATAGATCGGCCATCTCCTCTTCGGTGACGTCTTCCTAAGCTTCTGGGCACGGGCGTCGTAGCTATGATCCCAAGATCGCAATAAGAAATGCTGGATGGTTGCAACTGCTGACCTACCAAGAATGTCACCAAAGGGGCTCGGACCTCGGCAGGATACATGACATGTCGTGCTTCACGCCAGAACTGCTCCGGAAGCTCCAGCAAACCTGGAGCATAGATTGTTAGAATTTGGGGCCAGGGTTTAGGGACATGGTCGAAGTCCAATATCATCAAGGCACCAGCTTTGATGGCCTTGCTGAGCAGTTTGCCAGTCATCACTGTCATTGCTAGCCGAAAGCAAAACCACTGCTCGCTTCTTTCAAACCTTTGGGCCTAAACGTCAGCTTCAGTGGTTGCTCGGTACATCACAAAGCCAGTCAGAGCACCGACTGCCACACATCAGATGCAAAACTTGCAAGGGGAGGTAGCACCGTCAAAGCAAGCCCCCAAAGGGCCAACATGTTTGCAAACTTCGGCTTCTTCGAGCCAAAGGTGCTCGAAAAGTAGGATTCGCCAACTTCGATCATGGCGAACATGTTTCCGCCCACTCCCGGGTATAACTGGATATTTTCAAGTTGCCGATTATTGGTGGCACATCGGAATACACAGGTATGTACGAATGCAGATCTCAACACAAAACAGCCAATGCAAACAACAACAACAACAACAACAACAACAACAACAACAACAACAACAACCACAACGACATCGACATCGACATCGACATCGACAACGACAACGACAACGACAACAACAACAACAAAACACACACACACACACACGGCACATAATCCGAAAAGCTAGCAGTTTATGGTGCTTGTTTTTTGTGTTTAATGTTTTTTCCGCTGGATCTCCTCTGGAATGCTATTGTTGTTGCTGTGTTGTGTCTCGACATACAAATCCTGAACAACGGGACCCTTATTATCACTTACTGGTCCAGTATCCACGGGATTCTAAAGGGATTGTCGTAACTATCCCAGAAAGGTTAAAAAAAATACCTGCTCTGCTCCTAAGCAACCGTATCAACCCTCATAATTATGGAACTCTTATAGAGCTTTGGCACCCCGGAAAAGCTTGAGGTTGCCCACCCTACTCGCACTCGTATCACTCAACCTTTGCTTACCCACTCTACTACTACTACTACCACGACGACGACGACTACTACTACAACGACTACTACCGCTACTGCTACTGCTACTGCTACTACTACTACTACTACTACTACTACTACTACTACTACTACTACTGCTACTACTACTGCTACTGCTACTGACTACTACTACTACTACTACTACTACTACTACTACTACTACTACTACTACTACTACTACTACTACTACTACTACTACTACTACTACTACTACTACTACTACTACTACTACTACTACTACTACTACTACTACTACTACTACTACTACTACTACTACTACTACTACTACTACTACTACTACTACTACTATACTACTGCTATACTACTACTACTACTACTACTACTACTACTACTACTACTACTACTACTACTACCACGACGACGACTACTTCTATCAGGACCCGGAACGATCGAGTTCCTTCACAATCTTCGAAGCGTTCGAAAGTCAACGGTTGCACCTCAAATGCCTGCTATTCCACGGAAACCGGGGTTCGCATACTTATCATACCTTTACATACACATACACTATGTACCTGCATGCATATGTACCCGGTATGTATCTTTGCATGCATAGGTATATGTAGGTGTATATATTTCTATACCAATGTTCAGAGGCACCGTATCTCCCCGACTCTGTACCCTAATCCAAGTACTTAATCATCAGAAACTTAGATTTCGCTCCGGAACAACCCCTTACATTCCTACTAGCCCAACGCATCAATACCCTAAGGCCTAAGGCTCAAAGTAGCCCAAAAGCCTGCTATGGTATGGTCTTAATTAAGGCTCAAAGGCCTTTGAATATGAAGGCTTAGAGCTTTAGGGTACGGACCCTCAACCCTGAACCTTAAACCCAACAGCGACCTACCCACGTACCATCTGTTATAGGCTAAATACCCACTATACTTATTTTAAACGATATGTGGACTCTTTTAAGGGGTACTTGGGGGATGTTGGTAAGCCCTTATAAAACCTTGGACCCCCAAGAGAAACCCCTGAAGCCCGAACCCAGAGCCTCCTCCAGGCGGCTGGCGCAATCTGACAAAGCCTGACCCAGAGAGCCCAATACCCCTTAATTAGGGATATAGCTTGATATAAGCTATATTCCCTAATTAAGGGGTATTGGGCTCTAACTTCAGCCCGAAACCCTGAACCCTAAACCTGGTTAAACCTGAAACCCCGAACCCTAAACCCTTGAACCTTAAACCCTACAAACCCTAAACCTAAACCCTTAAACCTTAAGCCCTTAAACCCTAAACCTTGAACCCTGAACCCAGGGGCTTGGAGGCGTAGGTTTCTGCAGGGGTTTTGCCACAAAAGTTGCCTTTTTGGCACACGGGTAGGTCCCTTGTTGAAATCCCTAAGTAATCGGTGCCGTATTATAATAGGGACCTATAAGCGGACCCTAATTTTGACCACCACCCACATGGGTTTTTCAGAATGGTTTAAGGCTGATGCTGAGGCTTGCTTTGAATAAGGGCTCTTCATGCTTTCTGCGAGGGATTTATACCAGGAGCCCAACTTGGAGGTTCATGGGACTTAGTAGGTACAGTTGTAAGTACCTTTACTGGGGATCTAACCAAATACAAGTATAGCTACCTTATCTATAACCCGAGTTACTACGTACCATGAACCTCTAAGTAGGGTGTGGGGAAACCTCTTTTGCGCGTTGTGGCTTCTGAACGATACCTTTCCTGGGGTCCTTAACTGAGCTTTCCACTATCTAACCGGGGTCTCTTTTCGGATCCCCGTTTGGGGAGGCTTGTATAATGTGACTCCCCCCAATCCCCCCAGGTCCCAATACCAAACCACATAAACATCGACACTTCGCCGTGGAGCCCTATAAACCCTGCTGCCCGCAATCGCCATGAACCATGACATAATCTTCGGGTATATGCTCTATGTGCTGCCAGGCCCTCGTCCCTACACGCTACACTCCACACCCGAATTCCTGAAACCCTCCATCATAAACTCATAAAGCTCCAGCCTAGAGCCAAACCGAAATCCCCTCTGCGCCCCTCATTACTTGAACCGGGAAGCCCCAAAATACTAAGCACCCAGCCCCCAAAGTCCTGCAACCTTTCAAGGCTTTCTCCGCCTGCACTTCTGGCGCGTAAGTCTCCGTCGACGCCCACTTCCTTACCAGGCTTGTGAGTTCTTCAGGGTGCCACCATAGGTGGGCTATGGGTTTCAAGTTTCGGTGATGGAATCTAAAGCCTCAAGACTCCAGCAAGAGCCCAATACAATGCTGAATGAGTAGGTTTCCATCGGAAGAAGTCCTGCATGCGCAGGCAGTCTCGACGACCT